TTTATCAACATACCTCTCACTCCCAGCGTAGTACACACAAGACAATCATGGCTTTATCAACATACCTCTCACTCCCAGCGTAGTACACACAAGACAATCATGGCTTTATCAACATACCTCTCACTCCCAGCGTAGTACACACAAGACAATCATGGCTTTATCAACATACCTCTCACTCCCAGCGTAGTACACACAAGACAATCATGGCTTTATCAACATACCTCTCACTCCCAGCGTAGTACACACAAGACAATCATGGCTTTATCAACATACCTCTCACTCCCAGCGTAGTACACACAAGACAATCATGGCTTTATCAACATACCACTCACTCCCAGCGTAGTACACACAAGACAATCATGGCTTTATCAACATACCTCTCACTCCCAGCGTAGTACACACAAGACAATCATGGCTTTATCAACATACCTCTCACTCCCAGCGTAGTACACACAAGACAATCATGGCTTTATCAACATACCACTCACTCCCAGCGTAGTACACACAAGACAATCATGGCTTTATCAACATACCTCTCACTCCCAGCGTAGTACACACAAGACAATCATGGCTTTATCAACATACCTCTCACTCCCAGCGTAGTACACACAAGACAATCATGGCTTTATCAACATACCTCTCACTCCCAGCGTAGTACACACAAGACAATCATGGCTTTATCAACATACCTCTCACTCCCAGCGTAGTACACACAAGACAATCATGGCTTTATCAACATACCTCTCACTCCCAGCGTAGTACACACAAGACAATCATGGCTTTATCAACATACCTCTCACTCCCAGCGTAGTACACAAAAGACAAAAAAGAAGCGCCTTTTGTGGAATTTTCCACAAAAAGGAAAATTAATCTACAGAAAACATAAAACCCAAACAAGAGAGAAACGGGAGAAGAAGAGCCCAGAGAAACAGAAGACAACTAGCACTAGCCTGCTGGTCTACGCTAAGGTACAAAGCTAGACGCCTTCCATCCGCCGCGCCAGAGAAAGCTAGACATTATGACCTTAGCTGACACAGAAAGCTAACAGAGAAAGCCGGTGACACAGGACCTCCCAGCTGGCAATACTACCGCCAGCTAACACTACCTTACGTCTCAAGCTATCATGAAGGTGCTGGTACTCTTTCTACGGGCTCACCATAGCCCGTGCTACTTAGAACTTTTTGTTCCAAGTAGCAAATCTTAAACAACATGGTACTCTTTACCCTGGAGTAGTGACCAACCAACACGTACGAGCGTACACGGATAGAGACGACAGTCACCGCCTACCATGGTCAGTGAAATTGCTAAATTCCTGAGAGCCGACGTACTTGAAGCTAGGTAATGGGAGGGGGCGAGGAAATGAGTGGGTTGGGGGTGGGAGGGGAGAAGTGGGTTGGGGGTGAGAGTAAGGGAGGGGAGGTGTTGGGGTGGGCAGTGGTCAACATCGCGCTACACGTCCACCGTTTTTTTGTTTGTTATAGATTCAGCTACTCTGAACAAGTTCCAAGTAGCACGGGCTATGGTGAGCCCGTAGTGGACTTACCTGGCACAGGAGCGGTGCTGTGTGCATGGCCATCAACCACTGAAGTAAATGTCCACTTACACTGCCTCCGGTGCACTCGCAACCAATAAAATACTTGCTACAATGCCCATCAAAGTGGTACTCTTTAATACATTTACTTGGGGCTACAATACCGCCTTCTAACACCCCTTAAGAGAATGATAACACACATACCATCCACCCTGAAGCTACAAAGCCCCCCAAACAACCATCCAATTGATAACCTCCCAAACAAACCCTCCAAGGGGCTGATATCCTCCCTACAACCCTCCAAGGGGCTGATATCCTCCCTACAACCTCTCACACACATCAAAACGTCCGAAAACTCATCAAAAGGCTTCACATTTCCCCAAAGCGAGTACATGAGGCAGCCAAACTTCCCTAAACATTCATCAAAAGCTTCCAAAAACAAAAAACACAGCACCCTTTATTCTAGGGGTTCTAAAAACTCCATTAAACAATCTAGAGTACTATATAATGAATTATAACTTGGATTATTTATTATATCTAAGAAAAACTAAATTGTTGGCAAAACAATTATCAACTGTGTGTGTCATTGTTAGACATGTGACCTTGACACTGCCCCTGTCAGGTGACCTTGACACGGCCCCCTGTCAGGTGACGCTTGACAGGGAATGTGACGTCACAAGTATGTGTAAACACAACATAGGAGGGAGATATGAGGAGAAAGTCAATAATTATTACATACCACATGGAAGGAACACAAGGGGCAGGACAGGATATGAATGTAGATAGGGCAGAATGGATGATTAGCGCTCATCCACTTGCACCATCGGGAATCGAACGTCGACCCTGCAAGCAGCGAGGACGTCGCTGTACTGACTAGGCTATGTAGTTGAACCCATTACATAGTTAAGGTAGACGAAGCATAACTCTCCTTACCAAGAATAATCGTTCTTTGCAGGCGATGAGTCACAATAACGTGGCTAAAGTATGTTGACCAGACCACACACTAGAAGGTGAAGGGACGACGACGTTTCGGTCCGTCCTGGACCATTTTCAAGTCGATTGTGACTTGAGAATCGACTTGAGAATGGTCCAGGACGGACCGAAACGTCGCCGTCCCTTCACCTTCTAGTGTGTGGTCTGGTCAACAATCGCTCTTTAATAAGCTGCAATATATTGTCTTCTGGGGAAAAGGCGAGATATTGCTTTCATTTTGGTACCTATTAAACTATTACAAATTATCTTAAAACGCAATCTGGACGTTTTATATATATAAAACCCCTATTTTCATTTTAGTGTCAGAAGCGTTCTTCTTACCCAATAAGTCGCATGTCTTACGGATTTTTAACAAATCCGCTAAAAATGCGACGGATCTGTAATGACAGCACCTTAGCATTGACGTTTTCTGTGCATCGGCCTCGATAAGTTTGGTGGGATGATTGGGTGACGCTGTGAACGCTCCAGAGGACGGACTGGATTGGGTTCGAACGTTTCTGTTTAGGCAAAACAGTTGCCTTTTTGTACGGATTAGCAAGTGGAGAGACCGCGGTGAACTATCTGGCTGCCTCTGGAAAACTATCTTAAACGCTTGTAACTCAAACCAGTTGGAAAATGGTAAATCATTTTCAGTTAGTACGTCCCGACCATGTGAGCTCGTCGGTAAAGTGATAACCTCGCATCTTGCTGGGTCGGGGTTCGATCCCCGATGGTCTAAAGTGGCTGGGTACCATTCCTTCATCCCGTCCTCGTCTCTCTTCCAAGTGGCTCACACTGACTTGGCATTCGCTCCTTTCAATTGCTTTACCTTCTTATCAAAACAACTTCTGAACACAAGCTCCTACACAGGGAAGATAAATCTCTGAATGTTAGTTCGACAGAAATAACATTTTCAATATATATCGCCCCTAAAGCATCACAACACACTCAAGTGTGTCTCAGATGTTGGCCAAAAGCAAACCCATGTAAACCAGACGAGTCTCCGGCCTAGCAACGAGGATCCCAGTCATAGGAAGAGTATGGGGGAGGCTTCCAAACCCGCGCGGCCCTCACCTCCAAGCCTATTAGCGCTTTCAAGACATCCTGTGCAGGTGTGCTCACACCTGCACAGGTATTGTTAGAGGCATAGCGAGCTCGCCTGATAATTAACCTACCCTGTCACTAGTGTTCCAGGCGACTCAGCTCCTGCATCTTTCCCCCCATCGACTGAGGCGTTCCTTTAGGTTTTAATACTCTCCTCCACTCTGGTATCATTAGTCACTAAAGGTGATAAATTCATCTTAAATGCCAGACTATCAACCTTAATGCTGACCCCCCCCCTTACCCCCTACACTACATTCTTCACTCATCATTCCTCTGCAGCACACTCATCCCACTTTGCATATAAATTGTCTCTAATCTGAACTCTGGTCTACTTTAGCGATATCTGCAACCTACATCAATGTCAGTCAAACCCCCGTTTCTGTACAAATGCCTAATGCGTGCTTAGTACAAAGCTTGAAAAGTTATATTTAGATTTTCACTCCTCTTATGAAAATACATGGCCTTAAAAATCACCGAAATTATCCTGGATAATTATTATCCCGGACAACGTTTTCTGGAGGGAGTGGGAAGAGCGGGGGAGAGGTATAGTAGGCAGGGAAGGAGGCAGATAGGGGGGAGGGTGAAATGAGGAGGAAGGGGTGGGGGAAAGAGGGTGGATGAGAAGGGGAGGGGGAAGAGGGTGAAATAAGAAGGGGAGGGGGTGGGGAAAGTGGGTGAAATGGGAAAGGGAAAGGGGTGGGGGAAGAGGGTGATATGAGGAGAGGGAGGGGGGAAAAGGGTGACATGGGGAGGGGGAAGAGTGAAATGAGGAGGGGGGTGGGAAAGAGGGTGAAATGAGGAGAGGGAAGGGGGGGGAAGAGTGTGAAATGAGAAGGGGTGAGGGAGAGGGGGGAAAAGGGTTGGAGTGGGAAGGAGGCTGAAGAAAAGGGAGGTAAGAGAAGGGGGGAGGGAGGGGGGGGGGGGGTGAGGGAAATGAGTTACCAAATACTTTTCAATTTACTATTATCTTGCCGATAATTTAGTTATAACAAACGGGTCAGGTTTTACAAACACATTAATTCCACGCCAAAGTATGTCGCTCATCCGCAAAGCTCTTCTAGAATTTGGCAGCGAACAGCCCCATTATCGGTCTTAACAAGCCAGCGCTTTTTATACACCAGTACTCTCTTGAAAGTTGGCCTCTCTCACAGCTTTCTCCCGGGAGTCGTCATAGTGGCTCTCAGGTCAGCCTACTGTAGGGGGTCCTACAGGGCCAGGTCTTGGGTCCCTCTCAGTAGCTATTCTGAGATGGCTGACCCGCTCTTAATTACACAGTCTACTCTCCGCTATAGGCCTAGGCAGCATCAATCTGAAAGAGGTCAAGAGGCTTCTAACTACCTTACTGGTGGCAAGCACCACACCTGGGGTGTTCTACCACTCTCCTTGAACTTACCTTTAATTGTGGTGTTGTCCTTCTGTCAATAAATACTTCGGATATCCAGACACGGATTTCACTCAAAAATAAGCAATGCTACCCGACACTACGCTCACCTGCCTCTCACACTGGGCCAAACCCTACTGAACTCGTTAGCTCTCATGCATTGAAGTCATTCGTACCTGTGGTGCCAAATTACGCCCAAACTGTCATACGCTATCACCGATATATTAACGTAAAATATGTTCATTTTTTGCAACATTAAACATCAAAACAATAATGACAAATTAGTTCCGAAATTTCAGCTCACGAACTATATAGTTTTATGTATAACCGATATATAGCCCGATGAATTTTAAGGCTTCACTCGTCTGGCAGGTGCGGCGAACAAGTCTTGGCCCCGCCCCCTGCCCCAACAGGCTAACTACACACTCCAGACAGACAAGCAGGTGTGTGTGTGGGGGGGGGGGGGGGAGGGATGCCGGACACCACACTATTAGAAGACCTATACCATGTCTTTCCCTTCAGAATTTCCTCCACGAATTCCAATTCCATTGGTGCAATGGAGCAGGAAGTACGATTCAAAGGAATGTGTTCGTTGCAGTTGTCGTACAGCGGACGCGGTGTTAGGAGCGACTAGTTGAGAAGTTTCTCCCGTCTGGAATCTCCCGGCGATCTTGTAATCTGGTAATCTGTGTTGATCTGCCCACAAAATGCACACTCTGGAGAAATTTCTATTGGTAGCGAAAGTAAAATCCATACACAGAGAAACTGACAGTTAATGTGACGCCCGACAGACTCCAAATAAAAAGGATGGAACTAAAAGGATTTCATGTCAGTCACTGTTTCTTTCGTAACAGATCGAAATATGACGGCACTAGCCTCATTTACCCGTCCTATTGTTAAATATGACGGTACTAGCCTCATCTACCCGTCCTATTAGTAAATATGACGGTACTAGCCTCATCTACTCGTCCTATTAGTAAATATGACGGTACTAGCCTGATCTAGCCGCCCTATTGTTAAATATGACGGTACTAGCCTCTTCTAGCCGCCCCATTGTTAAATATGACGGTACTAGCCTCATCTTGTCGTCCCGTTGTTAAAAATGGTCAAGACTAGAGATGAGTCTTCTTGCCCAGTTCTCCATCTTATCCAAAATGTTGATGAATGATGGGGCCAGGCAGCCCCGGAGAGCGGTACATACTCAAGATGGGAGCGGACTTGTGCTTTATATATAAAAGTTTTACAGCTCCTGCTGTCAAGATGTGAGATGCGTCGTAGGGCTGAAGTTATCTGACTGACCTCCAGAATGCATCCTAAACAACAGTCGTTACACTCCTGGTTACCAATATGCCACTAGGTGAAAAGAAACGTACTTAACCACATCTGTCCAGCATGGGGGTCGAACCCGGGATCCCGGATTGTGAGGAGAGAACGCAAACCAACAAGGTTCGTAAAATGGTCAAAAAGAGTCAATGGTATTTTTTAAATTGGCTGGCTGCGCTCCGCTAAGCCTAATCATGCCTAATCTAAGCAACTAAACTTAACCTCACCTAACCTCTAACCTAAATCCTTTCTAATAAACTCATGAACCCGTAAATAAAACATTTTTCTATGTAGGCATATTAAATTTGTTTTACTGCTTCCTCAGCACTTGTAATGTTTTCCATATTTTCCTCCGATAATAAATACAAACAAATACACACAGCATACATACAGACAGAACAAGTTCAAGTATGTTTATTGACAAGAAAAAATACATTCCAAAGGCAAATAGAGTAGCTTACGCTATTTCTACTCCTCAAGACAGGCACAACATCTTGGACCAAATCTAGAGGCGCGGCCCCGCGGTCTCTACAACAATAACATTACCCCCGCGGGTCCCAGCCTACTGTGTAAACACCCCCCAGGCTGGCCAACCTCACGCCGCGCCCGCAACACTCAAAATACTGTATATTATCTAAGGCCGTAAAATGTATCTTAAGAATATTTAAAATGCAGTATTATAATTAAAATGGATAACTGAGTTTCTCTTCATAGACTAAGGCACAAATTTGACCTAAATATGTATTAAACCCTAAAGGAACGATTACAAATGGCGCCAATTACAAACGTTCCGGGGGCGTTGTGACATGTGCTGTTTATTCTAAGCACTTAGAAACTGCACTAGAAGGCGATTATGCGTCATACAATTTTTGTTTACTTCGGAAAAGAAATTGAAGATGATTTATGGAAATTTTCTTTCCTGATAAATTTATCTGTTTAATGTTAATGTGGGGGAAATTCTGTTATTATTGTTTTTACCTAACATGTTAATATTTACTCAAGATACGTTCAGAAATTATCTTCCTGCTCTGGTGATGGGCTTAAGGTCTTTCAGCCCATGAGGATTGTTAAGGTCACTACAAAAGCTTACTGATCAACTACCAAGTATAGTTAATCCTCAACACTTTTTCAGGACAAAAGTAAACTTTCAGTGAGTTTATTCATAAGTATATTCATATTCATAAGTATACACCGAGAAGCTGGGTACACCTCTCAAGTATACATTCTAATAAGAATATTCTCACTAACGAAAGTTCTCTAGATATTTGAAAATATAACACATAACAGTATGATAACTTTGCAAAGGCTAAATAATTGAGAACAATTCAAGTGCAAATGCGATATACTACAGATCCTAAATCCCAACCAATTTAGATATAAAATAACTCGTTTTGTATTACAGTTATTGAGAATATTAGCGAAGATTTACGGCCTATCCAAAGTTATAATCAGTTCCGTCTTGGAGTGAAAGTAGGAATTAAATTAAATAGCTGAGTATTGAGAGAGAGAGAGAGAGAGAGAGAGAGAGAGAGAGAGAGAGAGAGAGAGAGAGAGAGAGAGAGAGAGAGAGAGAGAGAGAGAGAGGAAGCAGAGATACAGATAAAGAGTTAAAGATAAACAGATAAGGAGAAACAGGCATAAAAAGCAACAGAGATAGGGACACAGGAAGAGGCAGAAACATAAATAGATAAGAAATAAAGAGAAAGGGAAAGAGATAAAGAGAAACTGAGTAAGAGCAAGAAAAGCCTCACTCGCTCAGCTTGTCAAAAACATCTTTCGTATCAGAGACGATCTGGCCAATTTAGCTCCCTTCTATACCCATCTACGACCGCAACTTATCTACGACCCCCATCCAGCTACGACTCCTACCCTCACCCCACCCATCTACGACCCCCACTCTACCACCCAACCCACCTACCACTTTACCCATCTAACCACCTCATCCTGATTCATCTACAACATTCAACCTTCCCCCGTCACTGCCGAACATCTTCCCCCATCTATCTACGACTTCACCTACGACTTCTCTCTTTCTCTCACCGACCCTCAGCCACTCCCTCTCAAGGCTGTCACTTGGGGATGGTGGTCCTCGAGGCTGTGATAAACACCAGAAGAGTGAGTCACTAAATATCGTCCTGGTCGACGATTTTCATGTTATGAGTGAGATAATGAAGTGATTGGTGGGTGTTACCGGTGAAAGTGATGAGGGGGAAGGGATTGGGGGGGGGGGGGCAGACATTAGGGGAGTGATAGGGTGAAAGGAGAGGGATTACCGTGCCCTCTTTTATTCCTATTTCCCCGCACAAATTCTTATTTCCGCGCAAAATATCTTCTGGCGACGATAAATCCTATTCAGGATTTATCCTATTCAGGATTTATCCGCCAGCACTCCTTCCTTCATTAAGTATAAAAGAACATACCTCGAACACTGTTTATATAGGGAGAAAGATAAATCTGTGTAATTTATGTATGTAGATTAGATTAACATTATAAAAACTACAATCACCTTCTGTGGTTGATTGTATAATAAATCACTGAACAATATGTTTAACAGATCCCACTAACCCTGTCCACAGAGGACGGGAACATGGAGTGAACACGTACGTACAAGCTTCCTGTTCCCGACGAAACGAATTAATATAATCTTTCTTCATTTATAAGGTTTCTAATTCCTGGCATTAACTTTGTCACACGTCTCGTCGTACTTCTTTGTCGTACCTGTTCCAGTGAACGTATGTCATTTAGTTGTTTACCCAAACGACCTACACATCAACAAACACACTTATGAAAGGAACATTATTAACTAACTGATCAGTCGAAATGAAAACATAAAACAATCAAAAATATTTTTAAGAATTTCCAAACGTCTCTAAGCGACTTTATCCCATAAAGAACACAAAATCAATACATAAATATCGCGATAACGCCGGTTATAGCTACTCTGACTATGGCGTCACAGCACGAGGATAACAGCCCTGTTATGGAGGGACTCGAGTAGTTTATGGTAAGCGTTTTGTCTACAAATCCGAGTAGAAAGTTTCCCTCCCCCCCCCCCCCAACAACTATGTCTAACCCAAACCCCCCATCCACTGTCAATATCGCCTCACCCCCTCTATACCACCCCCACAAGCCCCCACTCCCACCTCCATCCCCTCCTCATCCACATCGTCAAGCTATGATGAGTGAAAGTGACGGTTGCCAGAGAAAGTGATGGAAAACTGGAGAAATTGCATGAGAGGCAGTTGGGGGGGGGATGGTTGAGGAGGAAGGTAGGGAAGGACTGAGGGAAGGAGGGAGAGAGAGAGACGGAGAGATAGCCTAACCGAGATTAAGTTAGCTTGTTGTCTTCCTTTTATTTCTTCTATTTTTAACGCCTTCCAAAATGACCAGCTCCTCCTCCTCCTAAAATGAGAGCACTTATAGTGACTATGGTCCAAAGTTCCAATATGTCGTGATGGACCTCCAGAAAGTACACTTTTTTAGTAGTGATTTTATACAAACAAGAAAAGTTTTTACATTTATGTTGCTAATGAAACCTAGCCTAACCATCCCCCTAGGCCTAATACGGGAAGGCTCGCATAAACGGGCTACTAATACACGCCATCTGAGGCCTAATATAGTATATATGTGCTATACTACTAGGCCTAACAATATGTTAGCTTGGTTTTTAGTGTAAATGTTTCCGACCTATAAAAATAGTACAAAAAGTGGCTCCATCACTACATTGTGATATGATCGACCACAAAGTTACACAAAGCTCCATCATTTCAGGAGAATGGATTGAAAACAATTTAGGTACGGGGCAGCAGTTGGAACACAGGCGCGCGCGCGCGTTGTCACGTGCGACATTTTAGGAGTGTAATTAAGACGTTATATAATAATAATAATAATAATAATAATAATAATATTTTATTTAGGTAACGTACATACATAGATGTAGAGCTACAAACATTGATTGATTTATAGATAGAGCTAGTACATACAAAACCTAAAGCCACTAGTACGCATAGCGTTTCGGACAACACGGGCCCGAAACGTTCGTGTTGTACGTTCGTCAACAC